GAGAGAGAGAGAGAGAGAGAGAGAGAGAGAGAGAGAGAGAGAGAGAGAGGTCATATTGGCATGTGACCCGAATTTCCCAATCTTCTTTGCTTGGAGTGTATATCCCTGGGCTTTTGCATTTGCTTGGACTTTAGTTGATGCAGCTGTCCAAATCAACTACGTCTGCCATGGGGATGGCTGTTTCTTATCGTTCAAAGACTACCTTCAAAAGTTTTCCTACGATGTTTTCTGTTCATCAAACAGTTCATGAGTTTGCTTCTGTCAATCAATGTTGGCAGAAATATGGTGACAACACTGACAAGTTTGATCCCTCTCCCTGTTCTTTTTTTTTTTCCCTGAAATACTTCCTAGAATTAGGATGTTGTGCTAAGAATAAGAAGTAGAACATGAGTTGGAAGTTGGAACCAATGTGATATACCTCCATGTCTCACCACCATCACGTGTCCCCCCATCATTACCTCCAACTCTTTGTTTGTCTATAATAAGTAAAATTAATAGTGAATGAAATTCAATGAATGAACAAGAATGATCCCCCTTACTGCCAGACTTGAAAGAGCCATCCTTTAGTTCACTTTGCCTTTCTCCTCCTACTATGGAGGTTCATCCTGAGTGACCTCGGATGTACAAACATCAACCCGACCATTCTCCAACCGGTACCCCAGCAGCACCTTCTTGATGCAGGGCCAACCAGGAAGACAAGGATGTAAGTCCACGATAGCCATAAGGGATATCTTCTTGCCGGTTCCCACCACGAAGCTCTCTTCCTCACTATAGCCAAGCTGGAAGGGCTTCTCTTTCTACCTCCATACCCAAGGGCTTCCCCTCCTCTCCAGACTACTCTCCCATAGTCATGGAGGTCGTCTAATCACCCTGAAACTGCCAGTACACTGCCCCAGCCTTGCTAAAAGGAACTCGTAGCCTGGTCCGAAAAGTTCGGGGCCGGCGCACCATCGATAAATGACCTTGGCAGCCGGCGCCGCGTTTCAGCCTCTGAAAGGGACCTACGACCGATGTATGGCGTGTACTGGTGGTTTAAGCTCCACCACCTCCAGGAGCTCCACCAGCCTCGCCTTCTGGGCAGAGCAGCAGGATGGCTGCTTGGCAAGTGAATAAGAGATCCGCTATACCCATTGCAACGAATGATATACTTCGGCTGCCCGGGCTCCAGTACCTCTTGGTGGGGCACTTACCTGCCTCTACTTGGCCTCCCTTGGGTGCACTATGCCCGCTGCGTGTTCCCCCTTTTTCGCGGGAGCATCATTGCAGAGTGATATCTAACTACCAAGCCTCAACCCAGACTTCTACTAGCTTACATTCAGCCCCTGGACCACCATTACCTACTGGACATCTAGCTGACCCTTTCAGGCTCAACCGATTCGCTGGAGAATCCCTACCAGCCTCTAACAAAGTCTCTCTCTCTCTCTCTCTCTCTCTCTCTCTCTCTCTCTCTCTCTCTCTCTCTCTCTCTCT